ATATTCCAAACCTATACTGCTTTCTCCGCAATAATTTCATGGGCCTCATACGTTAATTCTTGTTAAATAGCTACGACAGCGCCAAATCAGGAGGTGCAAGAATTGAAGGAAAGGTTAGCAACATTACAGGCGTCTAAGATTAGAGAGGAAGGTAAGTATCACGAATATCATCAAAACTCTATTACTATTTTTCTTCGTTTTGCCATGAACATTTGGTGTATAGTTTGTATCGACTAACGAATTGTTCTTTTAGTTTCCATATACTTCAAATACCGTGATTCAGAGGCCATAAATCTTGGTTCTGACGAATGGAATAGTTTTAGTCAGTTACATGTCCATTTGAAAAACGTTTTCGGTCTTAAAGGCCCATTATTGGATTATATTTTTTCTATTGGCGATAAACTAATAGATCTTAGCTGGTCAAAAAGCGCCTTTATCGATTATATTGAAAAACACAAATGTTCGGCCAATAATCCGATTACAATTTCAGAAAAGAAGAAAGGTACAATAAATTTAGTTATCCGTAAATCGTAAATAAACTAGACTAATGCAATCTCATTCTACAGTTAAGAGATCATACTTTGATACGTTAAATTCCTTACCAGCACCATCAAAACTTGGGGAACCTGAGGAATGGTACAAACGACAGAAAACTAATGCTGTTGATGCTATTTGTCTTAACCACTGCCCTCCAACTGCCTCTAGCTCCATACCAGTTAGCTTGCTTTGTCCGATTTTTGGAAATTTTAAGGATTTATGTGATGAGCTTTCAGAAAGCGAAGATAATCGTTTCGCTTATGATTTTTGTCTCAAAATGACAAAACGTTATAATTCTGAATTGGAGCGTCAAGTTGAGGCGAATGACATGCTATCTAAATATTTCAAACGCCCTATACAACCAATTGTGACTGAACTTGGTTCTCGTACTGATGGTACTGTATGTTATGGTGATGGCCCTAATACATATCGTGAGGCTAATGTAGAATACAAGAAGCATAACTGTGGCTCCGATGCCTGTCCCTACCTTGAAAATTGTGGATATTATTTAGTTTTTTGCACGGAAAAAGAAATGCATCCTTCCTACCATGTGACTAATTTTCCATGCTTTTTGATTGTAATTTCTGGTATAGTAGTAAATTTAGTTTGATATTTCTTTGTCAGAATTTGCGACTAACTTTGATTGATTTAGGACCTTATTTCTCTGTTTCCGGCGCTGTGTTTGCAAATATGGCTATTGTCGACCCGCTTACTCCGGTCTTTCCCCTTATTTGGCAACAATATGACGAAGCAATGATGGTATCAATTGCCAAAACATTTCGTGCTTTGAAGATATCTCTCCAACTTCTTCATCAATATTATGCTAATGTTGATGAACTAATTCAAGACGAACCTCAAACTGTCCATCCAGTGCATCCTTCATTTCCAGAAGTGATTTTAGACAATAAATCTTACATGGTTCAAATTAAGTCCCAAGTTAGCAAAAATCTTCTTTGGGAAGTTACACTTTTAAATGAACAAGAACCTCATCTTACAGCCTACGTAAAAGCTGTTCAAAAACATCGATATTCACTTGATACACATGAACTGTTAGCTAAAGTTGGATATGCTCCAAAAATCTTTGCTACTTCAGTAGTCCCTGGAAATTGGATTTTGGTTTATATGGAATGGCTGGACAATCACTCAATATTACATAATGTCTCTAACCTTGAAGATTCAGGACGAAATTCTTTAAAAAAGAAAATAAAAGAAATTGTCAAGTATTTGCATAATTTAGGACACGTTCATGGAGACTTGCGTGAAGGGAATATACTAGTTAGACAACTTGAAGATAATGAATTTGACGTGAAGTTGATCGATTTTGAATGGTCTGGAAGGGTTGGTTCTGCGCGTTATTCTCCTTTTATGAATCATAAAATTCAATGGCCAGATGGAGCAGACGATTGGAAACTAGTTACAACAAACCACGATCTTTTTATGTTAGAGCAGACTCTTCGGAAAAAAAATTTGTTATAAAATGGGACGGATATCGGATAGTATGTATTTTGGTTTAGTAAGAGGGATGGATCAAAAAAGTTTAGTGTTTTGTTATTCTTAGCATGTGATATTAAAATTTTCATATAATAGACTTGACATTTGATTTCTCAATTAATAAAGCTGGCCCTGGTGGCTGATTTTGCATACATAATCGCGTTTACTTTTGCATGTATATTTCGTGAATTTATTTTATTGTATTGTTATCGATGTATATTAACTCGTATATGATCGAGAATTTT